CGTGGGCCACGTTCGGGTCCCGCGGAGCCCGCCGGCGCTTCCCGCCTTTTCTCGAGCTGAGGCGGCCCCGTCGCGCGGGCGGCGGCTCGAGGCGGCGGCGCTCCGCGATGGCTGCTTCGCCCCGTTGCCAGGCTGGGCTGCGCCGCCCGAGACCCCCCGTCCTTGCTGCCCAAACGGTGACGCTTGGCGTGCAGCCCACGTGTCACCCACGCAGGATTTGTCCAGTCTCACTGCAGAGCCATCGAGGTTTTGGTCGTGGTTTCAAATTGTAGCCTTCAATGAAACAGTAATTCAAGAGAAACCAGCAAAATTAATTTCCATAATTTGATGGTGAGATGAGCCGTTGCTGCCTTGAGGTAACTGCAGTTTACACTCTTGAGCCTGAATGAGTTGGCAGCCTTGGCTACACAAGGCAAGGCAAGTAACACACTGGGAGAACATCTGCAGTCCCAACAGCAAGCACAAGGCAGCTTCACTGTGAGCGTTTCAGTTCACTATGAGGAAAATATTAACTGTCTGCTGTGTGCTTCAGAGGGCCAGTTAAATTATCTGTCATCTATTATACAGTTTTGCACATTCTTTTTTTTCCTCTTTGAAAATCCAGATGTTGCTTAAGTGAAGCCTGGCCATGTGGATTCCCATGGCTAAGCAGTGATTTCCCCTTGCCCCAAAAGACGGAAATTGTTTGTTGAACCTGTGGGCTCCTGTACTTCAAATGAATAGTAGGGAGAGCTTTCAAATGTGATTAACTCTGCAGGTTAACAAACCTCCAGCTTGGCTCATCTCGGTCTTTCGGTCCAAGGAGGGACAGGATGCGACTGGAAGACATAAAAAAAATAAAGGTGAGGCAAAGAAAAGAAAATGATTATTTTCCCCATCTAGGCCAAGATGAAAAGAACTCTGAATGATTATCTGGAAAATTGTGTGAGGAATTATTTTTGTGTTTGCTTAAATGAATCGGAAGGGAATACCCAGAGAGATACCCATTTGGCGAAACTCATTAAATCCAATTTACCCATTATGCAACAAACTTAATTGTGAGAAGAAACAAAGGTGGTTCTGTAAAAAGATGCTGAGTCTGTTTGCTTTGTCTTTTTTTCCCTCTGTTGTTGCTTGTTTGTTGGCTTATATTTTTCAATATCTAGCTGAGAATTCTGTCTGCAACATGGGAAGAAATGAAAACGTAAAGAGAAGTATCCAGAAGTTGTCAGTCATCCGTATAAGTTAGAGAAATGTGTTCTCGGAAATAAATTGAAAATGCGGAGCACACTGCAAACATTTTCAGGCCAAAATGAGTTACATGTTTCTCATGACTCTTACCCAGTTTTATCCAGTTTACATGTTAGTGTTTTCTTTGTTCCTTTTTTCCCTGTTCTTTTCCCTTTTTATTCTTCACCTTCTTCAAGGGGGAGGAAGTGAAAGGGGAAAGTAGGGAGCCAGTGGGTAAGTTGCCAGCCACTGGCAACTGTATAGGGTCAAATGCCATTAGTACCTGTGAGTTTTACCTCTAATACCAGCAACTTCTTTGCAATTGTATAGGAACTGCTGCAAGCCTCCTAAGGTAAGTCTTAATTTTTGAGCAGGTTAAGATCTCCCTTACAGGAAAAAAAAAAAAAAAAGTAATTTATTGAACTGTTGGGCACTTTTTTGGGCAACCTCAGCAGAGATCCAAGTCCTAAAGACGCTTGGGAATTACCAGTATCTCAATTTATCTATTGCTGAATATCATATATTTCTACTTTTGGAACTAAATGTTGAGCTCTACAGTCACAGAATAGTTATAGTCTATTATTTCTTCTGGGAAATATGAAAAACACTTCAAAATCTTTGTACCCAGGTTGTGTCCTACAGTATAGGTAGGAAGGAACCTAAACATAAAAGTTCATTAAATGATTTTTCAGCTGTCCTTATCCCCTCCTTTTTTTTTTATCCTGTGCTAAATTTTAGCAGTAGTATCTTGCAGCCTACTGAGATAACATCACCAGGAGCCAAGGCAGCCCTTTTCTCTTGAAACTTGATGTTGTGACTACTACAATTTAGGGCAATAAGTGTTTGAAGACCTGCACCTGCTTCTGAAAAAAAAAGCACCCCTGTCATCTTTTGATCATCATTTCATTATCCCCAGGTTATCTGAGTATAGCATAGATAGATACTTTATCCATCTGAGAGGCTGAATAATGATTCTTAGGTTAGGAATGATTATCTGAAAATTCACTTGTTTCACCCAGATTAAAATCCTAGTTACTAAACAGTCCTTCCTCCTTTTTAGGCTGTTCCTGTACCAGGTGATCTATTCTGTTCTTTGTGGGAGTTTCCAGTCATAAAAATTTATTGACTAAGGTATTTTAACTACTGTTGAGTCCTGAAAGTATTACAAAGTTAGGGAAATGATCTGGAATCTGCTTCAGCTCAATTGGTATTAAATATTGACTCCAGAATTATTACTTCTAAAGCATAAAATAATGCAATATCTCTCAGATTCTAGGTTGGATTCAGAGTTGCCACTAACAAAGGTTTTCCTAACTTCTAAATATTACAGGTATTAGTTACAGGTGTAAGTCCTGAGAACATGGAAGCACACAATTCTGTAAAATGGCATTGTGGCTTTTCATACTTCACTAACTACACTTAAAATCTGCTCCATTTGTATGAACTAAAAGACCTAAATGAATAGAGCATGTCAGTATTTTTTTACAAATGGTCCTTTTAGAGGCATCTTTCTCTTACTCTATCTCACATGCGTAGAAATACTCTTTTCTGTGTCAGAAATGAAATGTGTTTACGAGGAATATGCTACAATGCTTTGACAAGCTCAAGGATTTCAGCAGATGAAGAGATGAAGAAAGCCACACAGCTCATGTATTTATGGCAATATGAGATTTAATTTTGGTCTTTATTAAGTCAGTGCAAATTCACTGAATGAATTCTGACTATTGCTCTGTCCATCAAAGGGTCTTATACATGTGTATGTCAAAGATGAAATTGCAGTCAAGAGCATCAAGTGGATTTGGAGTTCTCTGTAGTAGATACCCCTATTTCAGAATTTCTTTATTAGAATTAATTAGCTTGTAAATGACAGCCTAGAGTACAAGGGGAAGACTTAGGCGAAGTCCTACATACATACTTTAAAATGTTGCAAAATCATTAGCTAAGAAACACCAATTTTCTAGAAGCTTTAAGGTATTAAAATTAATATATTCTAAACCAGTAACTTTAAGCTGCCTTTTTAAAAAAAAAAAAAAAAAAACTTTGAGAGTTTTTCCATTGTTCCTGTGAGCCTCCCACGTTTGAATGTCTGAGCCCTTGCTCACTAAGTGGGACTTGTGGTAACATCTTCTATTCCTACCTATTTCTCTTTAAGATTCTTACCCCCTTGTCACCCCTATTCTAATTCTTCCCTCCCGAAACCGTATCTGCTCCGTAGGGCTTCCTGCTTCCTTATTTCCCTTTTGCTCTGCTGTGTCCCCTCTTCTCTCAAATGCAGTGATCAGGTAGGTTATTTTTGAACCTGAGCAATTTCCATGACTTACTGTTTCCTGAGATTCTGTCATAAGGGCATCAGCTCAGCATCACTTTCCTTTCCTTTCCTTTTCCTTTTCACTTCAGAAACTAAACATAAGGTGAGAGCAGTGGCAATCAAACTTTCCATTGCAAATGTAACCCTATCCTTAGCAAGAGAGATGCAGAAATGGATTTGTAATATGTCAATTTTCTTTGTACTAGTCTTTAGAGTGTCTAGATTTGAATTTTAACACAGAAGCTATTTCATTAAAACATGAATCCTCTTTTCAAGAAACAAATAGATGAGATGCACCAAGAAGTAGCATCAAAGGTAACAAAATCTACTGACAATTGGATAATTTGCAAGCCTGTGCAAGAGCATGTGCTGTGCACATCATGTAAGTAGTCTGATTCATAGTCTTACTGTGGAAACTATAGTTGATTTTTATACCATATGTACACTTATTTCAAAACAAGAAAATATACTTTCTTCATAGAATAAGTTGAATATTTTCTCAACCAGGTTTGCATTTTATTTCATAGGGTATTGTTACACTATAATCATGTATTTAGTGTTGACTTCAAGTTGCTGTAGCAGTCAGCTGTAGCTGCAGAGTTTTCTGCATGATTGATATATGATACTTGTTTATTGAGACATAATTAAATCTTTCTGTTTAATGTTATGATTAACCTGTCATAACATCCTGTATTTTAATGTACTATTTTGGCCTTTTGTCTTCTCGCAGTGGTGCCTTGGAATGTAGTAGTTTCAAAGAGAGAGCACCGAGAGCAAGATCTGTCTGCAGTACAAAAGATGACCTTTTGTGTCTATGTGCACAAATTTTCCTTACAGATAATAGGATGAGGGATTGACTATTAGCTGTAACACTGACTAGATGCAAGTAAACTAAAATTTCATTCATGCTCTGCTCGTGTTTTTAACAATTGGGCCAACTTCTTGCTGCAGAATGCAGTCAAATATTTTTTTTTCCTAGAAGATTATTCCTTTACTTGGGTAAACAGTGTATGTCCTAACTCAAGTATAAGCAGGTCAATCTACATGGTTAGGAAACCAGCCGAAGGGGCCGAAAGTTGTGTTCAGGACGACAGTCTCAGTCTTTTCCCCTCTTGGACTGTTGGGGTGTAAATGGATCTCCTTTTGTTACCCGGTTTCCTGTGCTGCAGTTTTGATGTGCTTTAGATATGGCCCTGCGTAACATAATTTTGTTTTCTGCCCCTGTCCCCCGAAGTCCTTCCTAGCAACAACCTCCTGACAGAAGGAGATTGAGAATTGCAT